AAATTAAAAAAATATATAATTAATAACGAACAGATTAAGAGACATCAAAAAATCCTGCTGTGCTGAAAGCCGGGGTAAATAAATATGTTTTAAGACATGATTTAAAAAGCGATAAGGAAGGTGCCCGTCTAACATGTAAATGCAACTCATTCCACAATTTTAGTGCTGACACCACAAACACACAATCCCCTCTGAACTTACGATTACAGGCACACTCAGGAGGAGCTGGTCTGGTTCTTGGTCAATTGGTTATATACTATTTTTTCCAAGAATTTAGATAAAAAATGGCAGCTTAGATATTGGTCTGAAGTTTTCAGCGTTTGTATCTAGCCCAGGTTTCTTTAGAATAAATTGTATCTTTGAAATTCTTTGGAACCACACCTGAGGTAAGGCTGCTATTTAAAATGGTTACAATAGTTGAACATATGGTAGAAAGAACGTTTTTCAGAAAACGGGGAGGGATAGCATCGTGAGGTGAGCCTACAGGCTTTAGATGATTCACCACCTCCTGTAGCTGAGCAACAATAACCGACTCAAACTGTTGAAAGACAAATTGGTCAGATGTGGGCAAAATAATCCGTACCCTAGCCAAAACTAAGTTGTTCATAAAGAAGTGAAGGCTCAAAACTGAGAGAAGAAGGAGGGCATAAAATAGTCTCAATTGAGTTAAACATTGTATGTGGTTTCTGATCATTTACCAAAATAATGTTAGCAAAGCCTTTCCTCTTTGTTTCTTTTACTGTGTACTGATATAAGGCCCAGCGCTCGCTTAAATTTTGTAAAGAGACCTGTAAGTTATCTTTTTTCCATCTCCACTCAGCCCTGCGACATTCACGCCTCGCAGCACAGGTTTCATTGTTCAACCAGGGTCCAAACTTGGTCTTAGGATGCCTGATTTTCAGAGGGGCAACAATATCCAAGGCAGTCTGACAAGTGGTATGAAACCAAGAACTGAGTTCCTCTACGTTTTGGAGTGTCTCGGGAATGGAGAACTGATTATAGAAGGTGGAGAGAAATTTAACAAACGAGATGGCTGAGCAGGGACATGCCCCCTGAATTCATTTCATTTCATTTCATTTCATTTTTATTTATTTCACACTTGGTGCTACAAATCAAACAAAACAACCACATCTTCTGTCAACAAAACACAACAACCATGTGTGAAAAGGAGCAGGAAGAAGAAAATATTCTTATTAAACCCTGCCCCCTATCTACCTTCGAACTTATATCACCGGTGGGCACCAAAAATCAGGAACAAACTAATATTGACATTTCTCTCCGGTCGAATCCCAAACCAACATCACATTCATTCGCATTCTTCATACTGAGTTATCGTTTTAAACATATAACACTTTTTAAAACATTGTAAATTTATACAATTCTTTAAATTATAATGAAGTAAATTCCACAGTCTTATACCCCTAACCGTTGTGCTCATTAATCTTTGTGTAGTCCTGGCTAACTGATGTTTAAAATAAAATTTCCTTCTATTCTCTTCTCCCCTTGAACACATCAAAAATACTCTTTGTAACTTAAAAGGCAAAATATTATTTTTAGCCTTAAACATAATTAATAATGTCCGTAATTTCACTAAATCTCCTAATTTTAATAATTTTGATTCTATAAATAATTTATTTGTATGTTCTCTATATTTAACATTATGAATTATTCGTATAACTTTCTTCTGTAATAGGTTTAAAGGTTTTATGGTATTCTCATATGTATTCCCCCAAACTTCAACACAATAGTTGATATATGAAAAAAACAAAGAAAAATATAAAATACGCATTGTTTTATAATTTAATAAATCTCTTATACTACCTAAAATATAAATACTTTTGACCATTTTCTTTCTAATATGTTCAATATGAGATTTCCATGTCAAATTCTCATCCACTATTACACCCAAAAAACGAAATTCAGTAACTCTTTCAATCAATTCTTCCTCTATAAACATAATGACTTTATCCTCCTTTACACGATTACCAAATATCATATATTTCGTTTTTGTCAGATTCAAAGATAATTTATTTACATCAAACCATTTTTTTATTCTTAACATCTCAGAAGTCATAATTTCAACCAAGTCTTTCAAATTCTCTCCAGAGCAATAAAAATTTGTGTCATCTGCAAATAAAATCGAATTTAACCTTTTAGATACGTCACAAATATCATTAATATATAAATTAAAGAGTTTAGGTCCCAAAATAGAACCTTGAGGAACACCACATACAATCTTCAGTCTTTCAGAAGTATTGCCAAAATAATAAACATATTGCAACCTATTCTCTAAATAACTCATTAACCAATTCAATGCTACTCCTCTCACTCCATAGTTATACAATTTAGAAATCAAAATAGAATGTTGTATCGTATCAAAAGCTTTTTTTAAATCAACAAATACTCCCACTGTGTATTTATTATTATGTGTTGCAGATGAAATATCTTCAATAAAAGTCAACAACGCTAATGCCGTTGACCTATTTTTACGAAATCCAAATTGGTTTTCATGTATTAGTTGATATTTTTCAATAAAACTATCAAGTCTTTGTGCAAAGAGTTTTTCTAGCAATTTTGAAAACTGTGATAAAAGAGACACTGGCCTATAATTGTTAAAACTATGCTTATCTCCTGATTTATATAATGGTATTACTTTTGCCACTTTCATTCTGTCAGGGAATACTCCTGACTGTAGCGAAAGATTAAAAATATAACAAAGAGGAGTACTTATACAATCTATTGTCTTTTTAATTATGACCATGTCTATACCTTCACAATCAGTAGATTTTTTATTTTTACAATTTTTTACGATTGCTACTATTTCTTTTATGGTAGTATCGGCTAAGAATATGGAATTAACCATTCTATTATCACCTATCCAGGCTTCCTCATCTCCTGGATCATCATTTTTCCTGATTAGATTTGCTAAAGTAGGTCCAACATTTACAAAAAAAGAATTGAATTCGTTTGCTACTTCGGTCTTATCTTTAACAACTTGATTATTATTAATAAAATAATTAGGCCGAACTTTGGGTGTGTTCTTATTACCCAATACCTCTTTAAAAATATTCCAAATGCCCTTAATATTATTTTTGTTTTCCTGAAAAACTTTATTATAGTAATCTTTCTTAGCTTTCCTCAATATTAATACCAACTTATTTTTATATAGTTTATATTTCATTTCCGCATTTTTAGTTCTATATATTATATACTCCCTATATAAATTATTTTTCTTTTTACACGCATTTGCAAGACCCTTAGTTATCCAAGGTTTCCTATTTATATTCTTTTTCTTATGCTTAAATGATATCAATGGACAATGTTTATCATACAAGGCCAAATATATATTTAGAAATACTCCGTATGCAGTGTTGACCTCATTAACATAAACCTCCTTCCAGTCCGTTTCCATGAGATCTTGTCTAAACCTATTAATTGCTTCATCATTTCTTAACCTTCTATAACTCACAAAACTAGCTTCTTTCTTTCTTTTCATATTTAAATCGAAAATAAAAAAGACTGGTAGATGATCGCTTATATCATTTATGATGAGGCCACTTTCAATATTATTCTCCAAACTATTAATAAAAATATGATCAATTAGTGTTTCTGATTTCTCCGTTATTCTACTCGGCTTTATAATTAAAGGATAAAATCCTTTACCATATAATAATTCAAAAAAATCTGACGAAGCCTTATCATTTGTCACTTTACAAAGATCAATATTATAATCACCACACAAACATACAGTCTTATTTCCCTTAACCTTACTCAATAAATTTTCTACTGCTTCTGTAAATAACTCAATCTGTGATCCCGGTTTCCTATATATACACGTTACAATTATATTACTTCTCTTTTCTATATCCAATTCTACTGTCACAGACTCCATTAAATCATCCATAACAACAGACATACATTCAACTTTTTTACATTTCAAATCACAATTAACGAAAAGTGCCACCCCTCCTGCCTTTGTCTTAATTCTATTCACAAAGTACAAATCGTATCCTTCAATACAAAAATTACAACCCTTATTCTCATCTAACCATGTTTCAGACAGAGCAATTATTTGAAACTTGCCTCTCAGACTATACAGAAAATCTTCAATCGAAGCAAAACTTCTATAAAGACTTCTGCAGTTAATATGAATTAAAGAAAATGTATTGACTATATCAACCTTATCCCTGAATTGCTCCTCTGTAAAATAATCACATGTGACATTAATTGTATTAAGCACATTCCTTTCAGGGTCAATACCTACTTCAAAATCATATGATTTATAATCTGTGTCGTCAAACATAATGCATAAATTATTCTAGCGCTATCTATTACCTCATAAGAAAGAGAAGGAAACAAAAAAAGAGAAAAGAAGGAAAAGAAAAAAAAAGAAAAAAAAAACTGAAAAAGGAAAGAAAAGATCCTAAGCAATCTCACATTCATTTATCAACATATTTTAAAGTCCGTTGATCTTGTTATCTTCCATATCCAATTTTACAATTTCCTTTTGTCCTTTTCCTCCCGAGGTAGCATTTGACCTTGCCAAAAATAAACTAGATATAGCCATAGTTTCATTTATAGATAACGAGATGTAAAACAGAACCAGCATATGATCAGAGAAAACAGGTCAGAGACTTAAAACAGGCAGTGAGTGCGCTAAAACCAGATCGAGAGCGTGGCCACACTGTTGTGTGGATGCAGACACACATCGAACTAAATTAAAAGAATCAGTAAGATTCAAAAAGTCTTTAACCATGGGCTTTTCTGGACAGCACACATGAATATTAAAATCCCCGACAATAAGAAAGGAGTCATATTTTATCGTGACTTCAGTTAGAAATGCAGCAAATTCCTTTATACAGCCCTTACTGTATTTTGGGGCCCTGTATATTATTGTGCACAGTACAGGGGGAGAATAGGCTATTTCAAATAGCAACAGTTAATAAGTGGAAAAATAAATTTCCAATGAAACCTGTTTACACCTGTAGCGATTTCTGAAGATGGTAGCTACTCCTCCACCTCGACCAGATCTGCGTGGGACTTTAAAATAGCAGCAGTCTGAAGGCTAAAGTTCTGCAAAGGCGTTGGAATCACCAGCAGTTGTCCACGTCTCAGTTAGGCAGAGAAAGTCCAAGTAGTGTACCAAAAAATATTCCTTAAGGATGAAAGTCTTACCAGGCCAAATTTGGCCGGAGTTGAACAGTCACCAGACATCAGCTCATTAAACATACGGCAGGTTTTGCAGATTCGCTCTGCACTGCCGTGGACAGGTATGATGGCAGGGGGTGTGGGAACATCTCAGAGCCAGCAAATGGCACCAGACATGCATAGGATGGCTTATGAAGATGCCAGGGAAAAGGGGGGCGGCAGGCAACGCTAGGAGCACCGGAAGAAACAGCAGAACCAAACGCTCAACAGGCCTTCAGCTTCACCAATCTCCCACTCTGTTTTTCCGCGACGGTGACCTCGCTTCCGGGGAGATGGCACAGGTACATGGAGCAGGTGAGTAGGAACCAACGACAGGAGTGGAGGCAGTATTTTGTGTGCATTTTCCAGTCTACACACCAGAGTATTGGGAGATAGCCGAAGTTTAAGTAAAACTTAGCGATCATAGACCAGCAGGGAGTCGACGTCACAGCAGAATAATACCATTAAAACAGATTTGGAGGAACAGACGGCAAGCCATACACATTGGCGTCATCTTGAACCCCCCCGAAAAAAAAGACAAATATGCATAAATGATCATTTAAGCATATTTAAGTATATCTGAAATTCTGTTCTAAGTTTTGTTCCTTTGATTAACCAGTTGCTGCTTGTGCTAACCTGCTTCCTTGGTAGTTAAAGATTCTGTATCTGGTTGAAAGCACAGATGCGGTAACACTCAACAAATGACGCATTTAAAAAGCAATATTTGGTCACATTTCAATTGAGAAGTGTAAACACACCCACCTGTTTTTCTCTACTATTTACGACAATTAGACTTCCTCCTCTTCTCTGGCAGTATGATTCATTCTCCTGCGAACTTCTCCTGTCATGTAATTCATAGTAACATTTGGATCCTGCCCTCAGCCATCCTACAGGACAGCTATATCCTGCAAGGGTTGTATATCATTTAGTTTCACGATGAAAATAAATTTTACTGCAGTCTCGTGTAACTTAGAAAGGTTCAATTAAAAATGTCTTCAGAGCCAAAGATACAAAAAAGACAGAATGAGAGAAAATCTTTCTCAGCTGTACTTTGTGTTGTCATCTTTGATCCTTCTTTATCAAAAAATTACAACTACAGTTAAAAATTGATTACTTTAGCTGATTATTAAAATAAAACTTTCAATCAGTCTCTGATCCTCTTTTGTTTTACTTTGTTTTGTCATTTTCTTGAAATTTACACAAGAAATAGAAGCTGTGTTTTTGTTATCTGTTGGGGACTGACCATTTTTTAAAATGCATTGGATACCAAAGAAACTACAGGTTAACATCAAGTAAATATACTTAAATTACATAAATCGATTGTCAAAACTGCACTAATCATACACTTTAAACTCTCTTTCAGTCAAATTATATTTTAAAATATCATTGTTAAAAGTCACTGTTTTAAAAAAAAGACATTTCTAAACCTTTCTGAGTTGCACTTCGTGTCGTCATCATCTTCTTAGTCCATTTAACATAAACTGAAATGTATTGAAAACCAAAGTTAACACATATACAAATCAAGTAAATATTGCTGATTTACATAAATTGATGGTCAAAATCTTGTGTAAAGCAGAAACCGTAAAACCTCTTTCAGTCTTCATCAAAGAAATTAAACATCCATTTTAAACAGTTGATTGTTAAGTGATTTTTTTAAACAAATAGATACATGAGTTTCCAAACCTTTCTTTGTTGTACTTTGTGTTGTCATCTTTTTTAGAGTTGCTAAAAAAAGAATAGAAACTCTAAATGGGTTATTGGTTATTTGACATATATTAAAAATCATTTAATCATCATTTAATTTAAATCATTAAATATCAAATAAAACACAGGTAAACATCAAATAAATATTCTTAAATTGTGTAAATAATTATATTATTATAAAAATTTAAACTGTAGTTAAACATTTCAGTTTTAAAATTGATGGATAATGACACATGGAGGAGGTGGCTGGGGAGAGGGAGGTCTGGGCCTCTTTGCTTAGGCTGCTGCCCCGCGACCCGGCCTCAGATAAAGTGGATGAAGATGGATGGATGGATGGATGGAAGTAACCAATGTCTCACAGTTAGAATAAATATACTAAAACTCATATTTTCTTCTACAGGAGCACAAAATCAAACACATGGATAATGACACAAAGTAACTTCAAAAACTTCATTAAAAAAAGTCTTGTCTTGAGATTTAACATTTACCAAATTGAAATTAATTGAAATTAAGTGCTCTCTCTCTGTCTCACACACACACACACACACACACACACACACACACACACACACACACACCACAAGTGTCACTGATTTATATAACTGTCCATTTTTGAATTTTGGTGTTGTAGCGGCAGTAAGTTTGTATTTCTTACAAGTGTGGCATTTGGCAAAGCATTGTGCCTTTATATTTGTACTATTGGTCTTTAAATCTTCCTCTATACCCCCTTTTTTACTGCCTTGACATACTATAGCACATATAATGTAATAAGCGAAATAACATGAATAGAAATTTATAAATAAACAGATAAAAGAAACACCTGAACAAGAAGAGTCTATAGAGAACATGTTTAGCACAACAGTGCATTCAACTCATAATTCTAATTGCAAAAGCTGCCAGACAGGACTGGATTTAAAAAATAAATAAAAATAAAACTAGTTTTAAACATTTGATTCTTAAAACTGACTGTCTAAATGAATAAATAAATGTATTTCCAAACCTTTCTCTGTTACACTTTTTGTTGTCATCGTCATTACATTTGCTGGAAAAAGAATGGAAATTGTACTTTGGTTGTCTGCTGGTGATACACACTTCCCCAAACAGCTTATCTCTGTAGTTAAGTATTTGATTGTTAAAACTTTAGGTAAAAAAAGAGCTTCCTAACCTTTCTCTGTTGTACTTTGTGTTGTCATCTTATTTGCATTTTCTGAAAAAGAGCATTGAAATTGTACTCTGCAGAGTGACTTAGTTAAACATTTAAATGTTAAAACTGATTATAACAAAAAAAATTACCTTTTAGAACTTTCTTTGTTGTACTTTGTGCTGTCATCTTGTTTACACTCGCTGAAAAACATAATGAAAATTGTACTTTGGTTGTCTGCTGGTGACTTAAAATTTACTAAAATGCACTAAACCAAAGAAAATGTTGATCAGTACCAAATTAATATCCTTGCATTGCATATAATGATTATCAAAATAGCCTGCAAAACATAAACACCTCTTTCATTTTTCATCATAAAATTACAATTACAGCTAAACATTTGAGTCTTAAAAGTGATTGCTTAAGAAATTTAAATGAATGAGCTTCTAAACCTTTTTCAGTTGTACTTTGTGTTGTCATCTTGTTTACACTCTCTGGAAAATAAGTGGAAAATGCAAGGGATACCAAAGAAACTACAGGTTAACATCAAGTAAATATACTTAAATTACATAAATCGATTGTCAAAACTGCACTAATCATACACTTTAAACTCTCTTTCAGTCAAATTATATTTTAAAATATCATTGTTAAAAGTCACTGTTTTAAAAAAAGACATTTCTAAACCTTTCTGAGTTGCACTTCGTGTCGTCATCATCTTCTTAGTCCATTTAACATGAACTGAAATGTATTGAAAACCAAAGTTAACACATATACAAATCAAGTAAATATTGCTGATTTACATAAATTGATGGTCAAAATCTTGTGTAAAGCAGAAACCGTAAAACCTCTTTCAGTCTTCATCAAAGAAATTAAACATCCATTTTAAACAGTTGATTGTTAAGTGATTTTTTTAAACAAATAGATACATGAGTTTCCAAACCTTTCTTTGTTGTACTTTGTGTTGTCATCTTATTTGCATTTTCTGAAAAAGAGCATTGAAATTGTACTCAGGTTTTCTGTCGGCGACTTAACATTATTCATTCATTATGAAAGTGCATTGAAAAGCCAGGAAAACACAGGTCAATATAAAATAAATAATCTTACATTACATATACTGATCATCAAAATAGCATGCAAAGCATAAACTGTAAAACCTATTTCAGTCCTCATCAAAAATATAATTAGTTAAACATTTAAATGTTAAAACTGATTATAACAAAAAAAATTATAATTACCTTTTAAAACTTTCTTTGTTGTACTTTGTGCTGTCATCTTGTTTACAGTTGCTGAAAAAAGAATTGAAATTGTACTTTGGTTGTCTGCAGGTGACTTAAAATTTATATATTATTATAAATTATATTATAATATATATATTATACATATGTTATTCATTTATTATGAAAATGCATTGAAAAGCCAGGAAAACATATGTCCTTACATTACATATAGTGATCATCAAAATGGCATGCAAAGTGTATACTGTAAAATCTCTTTTGGTCTTCATAGAAAAAAGAGCTTACAGCCAATGTTCCCTCAAACTTTTTTATGTAACTGAACGAACACACAAACTCGCTGAGCGGTTTGAAGCCTCAACAACTGCTTATAGGTATACTTCAACATCTGATTGTTAAAAATGAAGGTAAACAAGCCTTTCTCGGTTGTAGTTTCCGTTGTAAGATGGCTATGTAAAGTACTTAGAAATGCCCCTAGTGGTTGCAGCAGGGGGTGAAAGAAGATACCATATGGGGTAGGGGATTTCCGAGCCATAGCTGGCCGGTGCATTACAGTTACTGCACTGGAAGAAATACTGGCAGCTTTCACTACCAGACCAGACTCCACACCCTTTTTTTCAAATGCAGGAGCAGATTGGGAATTCCATGCGTCAAAAATATCCGACCCCAGGTATCGTTTAGAAAGACTATGCTAGAGGGGGTACCAGAAAAGGCAAGAGAAAAAATCTTAGATTACCCTGACTTAGAAGGGGCAGATGCAAATCGCTGGGAGAGACACCTGGTGCATTATTTGGGGAAGCATTAATAAGAGAAAGATAAGAAGAAAGTGGACCTAAAGGAGCTTCAGGAACAATTTCTTAAGCTCAACTGGGGAGAAGCGAGACAGAAGGTAAGTGAGAGAAAGAAAGAGAACAAATCAACTGGCTCGCCTAAGGTAATGGTAGTTCAAGGCTGCCCACCGGTGCCCTGGGCTATGGAAGGGGTGCGCCTGGAGCGGGTCATGGGCCTAGAGGTGTCTGTTTGATGTGTTATCAGCCTGGGCACTGGTCGAGAGACTGTCTGCAGCAGCCACAAATACAGCAGCATATGGGCCCGCCTCAGGGAGGAAGAGGGTGGTCCATTCCATCAGGCTCCAAACCCACACATGATCCCTGGACGAAGACCCCAAATGCCGATCTGGGAGGTTGACTGGTACAGCTCGGACTGGCAGCAGTGACACACTCCACAGGGAGGCCGGGGAGAAGGGGGAAAGGCAGGTAATTCCTTTAAAGACTGAAATTGGAAAGCAAGCAGTGGCTCATCCATATGTCATTTCAGCGCAAGTGCCTGTGAACCTGATGGGGCGAGACCTGCTCATCAAACTGAGAGCTGTGATCATGTGTGGGCCTGATGGTTTAACAGTGACTTTGAGAGATGGCACACCGCTTCCTTGTGTGGCCACAGGCACGAGAGGACAGTGGCTGCTGTCTGAGGACATTGACCGCACAGCAGAAATCTACTGAGCCCATCTGACAACCTCTGATGGCATCTTGGCACACTTCCAGCTCTGGCGGCCCTGGATTATGGCTCTGGACAATATATGCTCCACCCATCGACCCATACCATGTGACGCTCTTTTATGACCGCGAAATTACTGAGTGGTATGAATACCTGTTCCATGAATTCCTGGAGGGGAAGGTATGGAAGGTCTCTACCAGGGATATTTATGTTGGACCGCAGGGGGTAGCAGCCCTGGTCCACTTGGCGGAAGAACAAGAAAGCTGGTTCCAAATGGGTCACGAGTCTGTGCCTCATGTGTCTCTAGTGGTTCATTCTGGACACCAAGCAAAGGACTTCAGTCCCATGATACGCGTAGCGTCACGAGCAACTGATTGGCAACCTACACAGATTCCTGATGTCTCCTTCTCCCCAAGTACTAAAACCTATAGAATTTCAACATCTCACACAGATGATACTATGTTGGAACATCATCCCATTCCAGGACACATGGCAGGGAACTGACAGATCATCCAGAGGTCGTTAAAGGCCTCTCACAGTTTCCTGACACATTGTGGTCACAGGGGCCTAGTGATGTTGGCTTAACCACCTGCTCCCCTGTGACCTTTGAACTCAAATCTGACATTCCAATATGGCATCCGCAGTACCGACATTCACCACAGGTGGAGGAAGGCATTGCAGAGACTATTGCAGTCGGGTCCAACATCTTTAATGGCAGTGCAAAATAGAAATGCTTTGGACATGTTGCTGGGAGAAAAAGGGAGTGCTGTACTTTTATTCCTAATAACACAGCACCCGATGGCTCTGTGATCAGAGTTCTGGAAGGCCTGAAGACGCTGTCCACCACAATGCATGACCATTCAGGAGTTGACAACCCACTGGAAGCATGGATGACCTCTGTCTTTGGGCAAGGGAAAGGTTTTATTATGTCAATTATGATTTCTTTGTCTGTTTTCCCTGCTATATTAGCAACGTATGGGTGCTGTTGTGTGCCTTGTATCAGAGCTTTGTTCGTAAGACTCATCGACCGTGCTGATGAGTCTTACTCAGACACGGAGACCAGCCCCTAACACAAGGATTCCATATAGTGGAGTGGAGGAAGTCGTAAAATTCGGCAGGAATGGCGTAAGAAGAGATCAAAGGAAATTTCGGACAATATAAGACCTTAATGAGGGGAACCCTTGATCAGATAGCGACGTGGCATGACTCTTAACTGAAGCTCTGACAGAGAGCAGTGATGCATGCCAGGATTTTAAGACTTGAGGTAATGGCTTGATGGCTCGTGAAAGCTTATGTGAGTTTGTCTTTGAGTAGAAATTGAGAGGGGGTGCCTAGCTGGTTAATTTACTTTGGGTAAGGTAGTGATAACTAATGTGCCGATTTCTGAAATGAACAGAGGGTGGGGAGTTTCTGAAGGGCTGGTTAAACTGAGAGACTGATCAGAGGAGAACTGCACTTTGCAGAATGAGGGATGGAAAACATTCAATTCAATTTTATTTATATAGTGCCAAATCACAACAAAAGTTGCCTCAAGGCACTTTATACATTAAAACTGGCATCCCATGACTAGCAGAGATAAACAGCAATGGAGGACCAGCAGAGCATGGAACTAGCAAATGATTTCCAGTTATTAAATGGTGTTAGGAGGCAGTTGCACAGAACTGAGCTTGCTAGCTGGCGCTGATGGGTGGGTGGAGCTACAAGGTATGCAGTAGCTTTTGCTGTTGGAGCTGCAATTTTTGCTTTTGCAAGTAAGAAGACTTTGGATTGACATTTAGATTTGTGTGGTTAAGAACCCTTGAAAGTTAGAATGCTGGTGAATGGAAGCAGTTGTAGCTGGTCCAGTCTGAATCCTTAATGGAAGGATATTCAGGAGACTTTACAGAAGCATGGGTACGTTGTGGCTTCTGGGTCCGGCGCTGGTGTCCGTTGGCTTTTCCGCTAACTCTCCCGGTCTGTGGCCTTGTTTCAAAGCAACTGCTATGAGCTTTGCTGGTGGGTGATCTTGCTGAATTGCATGGATGTGGTTACTTCATAACTGGATTTAGCAGAGAGACGACTGGTTGGATAAACATAGCAGACCAGATTGTCGGCCAGTGAGAAAGCTGCTAGTAAGTTCATATGGTATTCAGTTTCTTGTGTAGCTCGTTGTCTGATGTGCTGACAGAAAAGAAGTGGTGGTGTGCGATACTGCATATTTTGGTGTCAAACCGATACCGATACTTTTAAATAAAAAAGGTTGACACTCAATGAATTGCTAATATTTAATTTTAGTATTAAATAGTGTTATTAAAGAGTTAAAACCCAGGACAAAGTTGTTGTTGGTGGTGATGTGTACAGCTGGCAGCGGGAGGGCTGCAGCCGTTGAATGTAATGTTACAGCAACCGTGTGATTTTTGTAAGAGTAAATGATGCTGCGAAGCATGAAAATGCCATTGGGTCTGCCGTGATGGTTTCGTTTAGTATTTCTTTCTAAAAATAAAAGTGCACCAAAACCAGTAAAACAATTAAAATGAGTACTGTTGAGAAACTATAATACAAAAATTACAATTAAAATTCTCAACAACAAAAACAACAGGTGAAAATATAATTATCATGTAAACAACTGAACAACCCCCATCTCTGGCGCTGTCCCAGGAGCGGCGAGTCCGGCGACTTGGCTGTTTCGTCTTTGCCGAAAGCACAGCATTGGAAACAAGAGCAGAACTTAAAGTAAAGAATCGATCTCACTAGGCCAGTATCGATCTGATACCAATACTGACTTAGTATCGATACAATCGATATTTGGATTGATTGTCCCACCACTAATGAGAAGGTGATTGCAAGAAAATGGAAGGATGAGTAAAATTATGTTACTCTTGTAAGATAAGCAGTGTTAAGGACCTTCTCAGAAGGTGTTCACACGAGAACGGACGAGAGCAAACTGTGTTCACATGAAAACGAGAAGGAACAGCTCTAGAATTGGGGGATCATATAGAGATAAGAACCAGAAGGAGCGTGTTTGGAGGTGTGGTCTCACTCCTGAAATTCAGATACTTTATCTCTAAATAAGGTTTCAAAGGAGACTTCATAATCATATTAACATAAAAAATTTCAAAAGCATCTTAAGCTAATTAAGCTATTTTAGGTGTTGAATGTGAAAGTCAGCATTCATTGCTGCACCACAAAATTTCCAGTGCTTACCATTTTCCTGTAACCCAGGACTGATGGAGCAGTCTTCATGTTCTTGAATCTCCACTTGGCTTTTCTCTTCAC